CTAAGAGAAACAATTTATTCATGTTATCATGGTGGTTATGTAACATTATGATTCAATTGATTCTCCTAGTTTATTTTTGCACAAGATAAAAATATCCTTAGATAGGTCCGACAATAGCTTGATACAAATGTTACAATAAATGGAACTTTTACAAAACTGTTTTTTGGATGAATATCTGGAGATATATTTGTCTTTAAATATATATATATATCTTGCCCATCAAGTCTCTAGTAAATCTTACTTCTTCCTCCGTTCGAAAACCGCAAGAGATGACTTGCATCAAAGTCAGAAAATGATTAGTTTTAACTCGCCCTTTCAATATATTTTACGTAGGGTTGTTGATAATCAAAAGGTTTTCGTATTGAAAAATTAGAATGTTATAAACTGACTAACTCAAATATATTTGTTCCAAATAATAAAAAGTCTGAGGTGACCAAACTTACAAAAGTTTCCAGATAAGGATAGAAAGATAAATTAAAAGAAAAAACCTCCACATCGTTGAGATTTTCACCATAAGTTAAAACGATAAAAATATTTCTTTCCTTTAACTTCTTACTGTCTACTAATATAACGTCATTTTTTACTTTAAAAGCTATATAAACTAACTTAAATTACTTGAATTTAATTCCAATTATTAGCATATGTAATTCGTAATATATTAGTTAGGTAAATTGAATCAAGTCACGGATTGTTGGACGTTTAATGTTGATTCGGTTACTGAACATACAATCTCACGTCAAGATTGTCATAGTGACAGCGGTGACACCGTTTTAGTAAATCCAATCAGAGAATGCGTTACAAATTCTGGATTAAATATTAGTATACAAAAATTTGCTAGATTTAAACCAAAGTATGACTGTGAATGATTATTTCCAATAAAAATGGCTACCTTAAACTATAACATTCTAATCGTAAGAAAAACGATACGTACTTTAATGATTCTATCTCAATTTATCCATATCCAACTCCGACTCATTTAGAAATCTGTATTTATTTCAATATGAGTTATGCATTATTATATGTTCGTGATGTAACTACAAAGTAGAGCGGGTCGTCAAAGCAAATTTTTGATAATCCTTTCAGCAGATACCTAATTTTTTTTTTTTCAGAAACTTCTCAGAAATGCAAATCTCAATACCAAATTTTGACTCGAGTAAAAATGTATCTCGCATTTATGTACATATGTACATACAGATATACATACATATTTTGAAAATAATAAACAAAAAAAATAAAAAAAAAATTTATATAAAATATCTACGTACAATCTTTAAAACACTTTGAATAGTGGAACAACCATGTATTAATAAATATGTATTTTTGTACTAAGATCTTTCAAGCAACTTAATATCAAATATGTGACTAAAATTCTTTCATTAGAATCTTCTTATTTAATATAACCACTGACTACGTAGTTTAAAAATTTATGTAATCGTATAAATGTTTTCATAAAATTAACGGAAAATTGTTCAACTCTAATAACGAGAAATACTTCAAGTTGAAATTAAAAATGTTTTCTCACTGTATATCACTAACCCAGCTATTCTAAAGATTTAGCACATTTTACCTTGGAAGCAACAAAATAAAACTTCTCGAGAGTTTTCAACGCTACTATATCAAAATAAACTTTGGAAATAAAAGTGTACAGCTAAAAAACTTTGGTTATACAAAAGTAATATAAAAATATGACTCTATATAAATTTCTATACTTCGCGACTCCAATATAAACAGATCATTTAAAACTTGACGTTTATTTGAGTAAATATTGTGTTATAGTTGAACGTATTGAATATTTGCATGGAATCTGTATTGTAAATATAAGGTTGAATCGGGTAGTTCCCATTCAACCCGGGATCAGAACATCGATTAGTTACACATGCCGTTGCGATTTAAAGAGAAAATTCCGCAATTTATAACTACCGGCAAGTACCGATGTCGCAGATGTAGAATGTGGAAATTTTACTACCTTTCGACTAAACTTTCAGTATTTATGGAATTAAATAGAAACCCATTTAGATTATGCTAGTACATTTACAATTTAAGCTATACATTCAAAGCGAAACTTTCAGGTTATACAATTGTTCAATCCAGCCGTAAATCATTTCAGAGTTTTAAATTAAAAACATTATTACATATTAACAAATACATGTTAAGCATTGTTCATAAGATCATAGTAATGTTAAAACATATATTATATAAGATACACGTTATATATAAAGCGAGTTATTGAGTGTAAAACAATTGATTCTACGATACAGGATATTGTACTAGTCTAATAGCCAGGATGTCTCTCATCCGACAATGATGGCACTTACTTTATTATATTAAACCGATCTGATTGAACGATGCTCATGATCCATGAATAACATTACGTACAAATAGAAATTCCATTCTATTTCTTCTTTTCCGTTACATAAACATTTTATCTCCCTTTCGTTTCAGCTTCGTCGTGATTTACCCTTTCATTCCGCTCTATTTCCAAAAGTAACAGGTTAAAGGCGACTTATTAAAACGGTCTCTTTAAAATATGTCACGTTAGGGCGGGATATAAATAATGTTAACCGCTGGGATGGGACCGACGATTCCACTACACTAGCGGGGATAAGACGGATTTATTTTCCACACAAATTTTCTAAATGAAATTAATTTATTAAATAAAACTCCTGATGATATCTGCTTCTCGTAATATATGGACATATTTACCTTCAAATATTACAGAAGTGTGTTATGCTTTAAAAATATCATGCAATATCAATCGAATTACTTAACGTTCAATTTAATATCACAAACAAAAGATATAATATAAATATTAAACGTCTTTCTAACAATAAACTACTTATAGTCTTGATAAGTTAGGTCATACTTACGAAACAATAAAAAAAGATCGTAGCAACAAGAAAATTAATAATATCCACTTGAATCCAACGGTTTCTGGTGGCACGAGTGTCTGCTATGGACCGGCCACGCGGTGGAATTTACATCGTGTCCCATATACTATACAAGCTGGCACATTAAATTCGATCCCCAGAATTATGAGAATAGACTTTTCAAACTTTATGCTTCACTAACTGTCAGATGGAGTGAATTTTTAAAACTGTGAAACGCGAAATACGAACTAACTCTTTCGTAGCAGAAGTAATTTAAATGATAATCATATGGGAAACAGATTTTCTAAATTTAAATAATTCTTATTTTAAATAATAATAGAAATGACTTTTTAATATATTGTTTTGTTTGAAACAAATATATAGTGATGAAATTATACTATTAAAAAATTGAAATATTATCATCAGTAAACCAATATGAAAAGGAATATATGTAGATTTTGTACTACGAAATAGTAAGTATTAAAATATATATATGTGTGTATATGTATATCTCATGTTATGACTGTAATATATTAGACATATATTTATTATTAGAATTACCACTTTATCAATCTAGACTATTTGTAATGTACGACCATGTTACTTCTAGCTCAAGTCGAGACTAAAGAAATGTTTAGTTGTAAACGCAAAAAGTTCAAGTTTACAGGAGTAGACATGCCTGAAAAACTATACGGGAGTCTTGTAGGAGCAGTTTATCCAATAGGGTTGTCTCCCATGTATTAATATTGTGTTTGAGTAAACATTTCTAGAGGCTTCCCTGTATGCTAATGTCTCCTATTTATTTCGCATTTGCAAAAAAAAATTGTTCAAAAATATCCAAATTATGTATTTTCTCTATTATCTATGACTTGCTCAAACTCTATAAATTATGATCAGTTTAGTAAGTTTCTGGATATGAATTACTTAAATGTCAAAACTTGAGAAGAACTCGCTAGAACACGTAACCATGCAGTTTGTTATCTCCAACGTGTTTATTTCTTTGAAAACAAACATCTGACCAGAGGAAGGTGTCGAGAAATATTTAACAAGCATAGCTTTAATGGATATCAACGCTATCTTCATAAAATATATGAAATATCGTTATTGATTGAGAGCGAGTACATAACCCTGTGAAACTTTACCTTAAACGTAACTTAAATTCACAGCAGCCGGTCGTTTCTCCACGACAATTCACTGGACTGTCGCGATGAAAGAATTGTGTTAAGCTGACACAATTCAAATTCAACCTTTAACTCCACACCAAAGAATTCACAATTGAGTTACTACAAAATAATGTACAAACACCAGGAGAGTATGCAAAAATAGTTCTTAAAAACTTTTATATTGAGTAAAAGAAGTTTAATTTCCTGTGTATTTAAAGACCAAGGCATCCAGTTGTTAATTGAAGCCTTGTGGTTTGGATTATGTCGAGTTTTTGCCTCGTTCTAGTATAATTACTTTGAGTGTTTCGAAAGTCCGCGAAGTTAAGGCCAGTATTTTATAGAGGGTCGTTAAAATTCTATAGACTGGCATTTCTTATAGTGGAGTTTGTCTTTGAAATATAGTGCAAACTTCACTCAGAAATATAATTAAGGAATACGAGTCAAGAATTACTTTGAAAATGACATAACTTTGTGTTAAAGTTCACCTCTGCTGCAACATTTTTTTTTTGTGTTTGTATACACTTACGAAATGAAAGCCTAGGTTGTATTAAACTTAAAATGCTTGAACTTTTATTACAAACAAAATTATTCTAAAGAAATAACGTACAATACCAAAAAAATATAATAATAAGTATTTTAACTAAATTATAAGTAATAAAAAAACTAAAAATAAAACTTAAAAATGTTACGAAAAAATAAATTATGTAACATAATTTAACTAATAATAAAAAAATCTAAACGAAATAACGAATAAAATGTTTAAGAAGTAGCTGTTTAAAGTCATGTATTTAAAAATATTTTTTAATTAAATAAAAATCTTATAAATAAAAGTATTCTTTAGGGATTTTCTCATAGAGTAAATGAATTATTATTTTTATAATTAATAAATAAGATAAGTTTTTACATAATAACTAACTTACTAAATGAGCAATCGGATCTTAAAAGAAAAATATTAATATTCTACAAGATGTTACTTCTTCTTCTTTTTCTTTTTCCCTTTCTGTCCCTTTACAACCTTCTGTTCTTCCGGTTCAGGTTCTGGTTTTGGTGGTAATTTTTTTTCAGGCCACAAACGCATCACTATTTCTACTATACCTAGAATTTTTATCGAATAATATCATTATTTTTAGGTGTTTATTTACTCGATAGTGAATGAATCGTTCCCAAAAATATTGAAACACTATAGATTTCCACATAAAATAAAAATATTATAAAAATTGTCATTAAGAATAATTTAGAAATGAAAAAAAATAACAGTATTTTAATAATTTCAACAAATAACTGACTGCTAGTTCCAACGAATTAAATAATTATTATTTACGTAATTTTATTTTTTACACAAATTTATTTTTATTGCAACCGCATAATAATGTCGTGATATTACAAGGAATTTATGAATGCTGTTTTCATATTTAATAAATATACGTACTCTTGTATACTTACCTACTAAATCCATTGTTTTTCCTCCTTTCTCCAATTTCGGACCAGGAAACATGTCAAGCACACCTTCAATGAGTTCGTTGTCTACTGAAACCCCAGCTATTTTCATATCACGCTGTACTTGACGTGGTTGAATAAAATTTTCCAACTCTTTTTTCTCTAGGAAATATAGTCTAAAAAAATATTTTAATTTTAATTCGTGGTTCGTATTTTTCTTAAAGTGTTTCATAAATAAGCTAACCCTATATCTAATTGATGTTTTTTCGAGCCTTTGGAGGTGAGGTAGTCAAATCGTTTCAGTAGAATCTCTCGCAAATCAGGAGTTGACAGTACATAGTCGTGACGCACAGGTCCATAAGTTATTTTGCAATTACGGCGATATTTCAGAGCCAGAATCCTAGCACGCTCCTACAGTAAAAAAGTTGATAAATATTCTAACTCATTTTTATATTGAAAGGCAAGTATAACTTAAGAACAATTATAATATCCTTTTGTTACCTTCACAAACTCTCTATTCACTTCTATATTATCCATAATTAAGTTGACGAGTGAAATAGACTTTGTTCGTAATTTGCTGAGAAGCAAAAAAGCATCACGGGATGTTATTGGATTGTTGGATAAATCTAAAGTGTGTAGACTAACTGCTGATTCAAGGTTATTTGCGATAGCTGTTACTCCTTGCCTTGAGATTCTAAAAGAGTTTTAATTAAAAATTAATTAGTAAGGTACGTTTATCTGCACAGATTATTTTTGCTCTCGTTTCAGTATAATCCACAATTACCTATTGTTGCTGAGATCCAATATTCGTAGCGTAGATACAGTCAGTAACTTTCTTAAGATTCTAGATATTTTAACGGCGTTCCACGACATGTTGAGTTCAATCAAGATTTTACTATAGCTTAATTGTGTGAGTAACTCGTTAACACCTATAAGTATAAAAGTAAAAGTAAAGGTAGTAAAAAACAGTAAAAGCAAAATAAATACGCCTTAAAACTCTGAAAGAAAAATAATAGAACCTTAGTAATAAATTAAATAAAAAAAACTATCAATTATATGTATTACATCCTGGTAAAGTACAGGTGAGGCAAAAATATTGTATACCATTTTTAAAAGTATTACGAGAACAGATGAACGTGGAATTTAACACCGTCCCACTTTATAAAGAGAAGAGGCACATATTGCATTATTTTCTTAAAAATGTTTTGTATCTAATTGTTAAAGAAATATTACACACTATCATTTCTTATATACATATGTAGTATATGTACATAAAATACGCCTAGTGATGAAAATTCCTCAATGTGTGTTTTGTCACCAAATGTTAAAGAATGATTTTTCTATTGTACTTAATATAATCCATTAATTATTTTGGCCGAGAACCGGCCGTGACATCTAATTTCTACGACTATAATAAAATTTATAACACGACTAGAAGACCTGGCGAACTTCGTATCGCCCTATAATCAACAAATGTCTATTACGTTTTTTTATTTATATTTTTGGAGTTTACCTGTGTTTTGAAGTGCGACAGAATGATTGACATATTAGTTAGTTGTCAAATCTAATGTCAAAAAAAACGTTTGTATGGGAAATAGAAAAGGGCTGTTTTTATGGTTTTCCCAGAAATGAATAAATTTTTTTCAGCTTTTATACCTTCCCTGAACCTCCACGAATATTTCAAGACTAAGATAAGATAAATCCGTTCAGCTGTTCTCGAGTTTTAGCGAGACTAAGGAACAGCAATCCATTTTTATATATATAGAAGATTTCATGTGAAAATGTGTTTTTCATAGGAATAAAACATAATTCCATTGATAAAAATAATGAAAATGTATTGTTTTTATGAATAAACATATTTTCATTTAATTTTCATTCCACATAATTCTTAGCGATTCATATAATTTCAAAATTCCTAGTGTTCAACATCAGATTGTCTGTCATTTTCAATAAAGAGTGAAGAAGTATAGCCGGTTAGACTTAAGCTGAGCTTTGCATTTGTGTGAGTGAAAGTAAAAGTAGAGTTAGACAAAAAAACTTTTAGAATTAAATTTGATTATAATTTAAATAGATACATAACATAAGTGCTACAAAATAAGCAAAACGTGTAAAAGTCCAGATAGAAATATTTTGAATATTGAGGAAAAAAAATTATCGATTAATAAGAATTTTGAAAAAACTACAAATTCTTATTCACTTGACATTGCGTTTTCAACATTTGATATTGCTACCAGTACAAAAGGTGAGGTGCGAAGTAAAAGCAGTACAAACCGGCTTAAAAGTAGAAAAGAACGTTTCATTCAAAAATTTCACATCTCACCTACACTATCCGTGTGCACTCACACAAATGCAAAGCTCAGCTTAAACCAAACGCACTATAATTCATTTTTCGTACCCTCATTACGTAATTTTCTAATTTACATTCCATAATTACACCCATATACCATGCACCATAGAATTAAATGCCGAAGGTAAAAATAGTCTTATTAATATTAAGCACTTAATTCATATTATGATTTTAAAATTGTGGTTTAAATGGGGACATTATTATTTATGACATATAACAAGGAATGCATTTTAAATTATTCATTCATTAATTAGGATGATTAAAGTTATTTTTACTGACAATTTTTACACTAACTATTGGGAGTACCAAAAAACATAGCAAATGATATTTTTTATCATTTCGGTAAATAAAAAATAATACGTCGTTACAGTGTAAAATTAATACTGAATAATGTTTTTTTTTTAATTTGTACAAAGATAGATAAATACATAAATACACATGTTTAATGCTTATATTTTAGACAAAGATAAAATAATTCATAAAATAAATCAAATCATCACAGATTACTTCATAATGTTCTTTCCAGCACATCCCAACGAGCAAGTATAAAATACATATTATCTTACTTTAAGCCGGCTATAAGGCTAAGAGTTCTAGACACTGAAAATAAAACGCAGTTTCGTTTAATATTAATGTTTTACCGCAAGGGAAAACTTTGAACTTCCCCAGTTGTTTACTGCTTGAGAGCAACGCTGAGACACTGAGTGGATGTTTAAGTTGTTTTAGACTAGCTATCCCTGGCCCTCATACGACAATGGGATAATGCCGCAATAGATGTCTTATTTCTATATCTATTCTTCTGCTTTGTTATATATCTATATAGAAGTATAGCATACAAATAAATATATATTAAATGAATAATGTTGTAGTGCCAAAATGCTAAGATTTATTTCATTTGGACTTACTACATTCCATGGTTCTTTACTAACCGACTTTCAGATCTCATTCAGAGGACAAACGTTAATGAGTTCTACTTGCCTTTGAGTATCGACATTTTGTTCCAAGAAAGATCCAAATGAGTTATGCAGTTGTTTCCCTCAATCGCTGATGCAAACAGTGACGCTGACGCCGAAGTCAGGCCATTATAGCTTAGATTTAACCTGTACAAATTAATTTCTGACATTATTAATATCATTATTATTTTTTCTAATATACAAATCTAAAGAAAAGTATGACATTTTAGTATTCTATTACACATTTATTTAAACTAAACATTTAATCATAGAATTACTTTCTCATAATTGCCCCCCTAGATAACTGATAAGCCAGATGTTTGAAGCCCTCGTCCCCGAAGTCGTTTCGAGATAAATCTAACAGCTCCAGAGACCTCGAGTATAAGTTCACCACCAATTTACGGAGACTTTCTACTTGGACCCTGAATTTTTAATTATATAATTATCATAATTATATTTTTAAAATTAAAGCAATGTAAAGAAAATATATAACACAAACGGGAATTTAACTTGCAATCTCCAGCAAATCGGGTAAAGTGAAGCAAATTTTCGAATTTTCATATTTTGCTAAATTTTATTCACATTAAAAATATTAAGGCTTTTCTTTGTTGATCTGCGACTGCTAGGTTTATTTTAATTAACTAAAGTCTTTGTACAAGCTTTCGAAAAAAGAAACATCTTAAATAACTTACTGAGCTGTTAATATACAAAAAAATATTTTACGTGAACAATCTTTCCACATTATAAGTTAATTCTTTGAGAAATTCATACCTGCATTCACAAAGCACCAGCTCTTGTAACACAACATTTTCTCTTAACATCTGTCCAAGATGATAACAAGCGTCTTCGGTCAAAAAATTGGATGTCAAGTCCAACCGTCGTACGTACTGGTTGCAGTTAAGAGCCATGCTCATTGCCCGCACTCCGACGGGATTAACCCCATAATACTTTAATTAAAAATGTGTACATATAGGAATATAATACTGATTCTCTAAGGTACACTTATAAGGGATATAAAAATAAAATAAAAGACATGAAAATAATAAAGATGACCTTGACAACAAAAAAATCTAAGTAAATTGAGATGTATACATATAGAATTTCTATGATTATATGGAAAGATACTATGGTCCCATAGAAATAATATAATAAAAAGACTACGTATATATAAAATGTTTTTGAGCTACATGTTGAGGAATTTTAGAAGATTTGACGTTAGTTTGAAAATAAGTTTGGAATATTTTTTTTTAAATACATCGTTACTCAAGCCACACTTTATTCACTCTACTCTGATCATTTTAAAAATAACTTTTAAATATATACTTGAAAAAATCTTAGATAATATGCTGTTTACTTTGATAGAAAAAAAAAATTGGTTGTTTGTAAAGTGGGTTTACGATCGAGATGTTTACGTGATAACGTCTTATTGGTGATATAAGTTTTTGAGAAGTAAGAAATTAATGAAGATAACAATTTTTTCAAATTTTAAATTACATCTATCGTTTTCAACGAAAACTTAACCGCACGAGAAAATCTCCATTTGTTTGTTTGTCGCTAGAGTGAGAGAGACGGAAGATCGGTCCACTCACTCGAACGCTATGCCTGCCTCCGCTCGTGAGGATTCCGCGTGACAAGTTACACAGAATGACTGGCAGCGCTCGAGATGAGACGGGAGATTGCTCTCTCGTTATACCTGCGATCGCGCTCGTGAGGTTTTGGTGTAACACAAGTTTCTGAACATGTCACCCGACTAAAACGATTTTAAAGACGTTATCACGTCAAAAAAACATACTTCACTACACACTCACGAAATCTATTACGTTCCAAAATATATTTCTTTACATTAACATAACCTATTGCATGAAATATACCGTCACAAATTGTAGGCACTTAGTTAAAAAATATTGTTGTCCTTTTTTATTATAATGTGAAGAGAATATTTTTTACAAATATATTTTGTTTAACCTCAAATAAATTTACTTATTTTCAACTAAGGGATATTTTATTATATTTACTAAAGCGTTCAGAATTCCCAACTATACCCGCAAGCTTTGAATAACGTATGAGTAACGTTTACCGGCGACTGTAGTGAAGGCAATAAAGTTTTCTATCCTTTAAACGGCTCACTGCTTGAATTGTAAATAATGGTGCTTACTCTCAAATCAATGGTTTCTTCGAGCAGACCTCGTACGAAGCTCCGTACTGGCATTATTTTCATTTCTTCACACAAATCTAAATAAAGTTCTTGTCCATCCATAGAATAGATTTTTCTTGGTTCTAAACAAATTACACAGTGCCGGAGTGGAAAAATTTAAATTACCTTTAATGTGTCAAAAATGACAAGTCATCTAAAAGTGTCACCTGGGTCCAAGAGCGCTTCCTTGATACCCGGATCTTTTATTCCCGGATATGCGTAATAAGGGTGTCTCATTACGGAACTCGCTGACAGTGGTACATATTTAGTGCAAATTTCTTCGCTGCCTGGTTCAAATAAACCCTGCTCATACAATAACGTTTTATATCTCTTAATTGGAATTATAGATATAAGTGAAGACCATTCCTCCATTGGTGGTTCTGTTGATGATAAATCATCATTTTCACGACTGTATAACCTCTCAACAGGCATTTCTTCTGATTCCTCTGAAGAAGATGACATTTTGGTTTTAATTTTACGACTCAACTTATTTTTATTAATTCGCTTAAAATAGCAGTTTTATCTTTATTTCGGTAAATGTTACTTTTTAAACGTTATATTGACAGTACTTTTTTGTTGTCAATTGTGTTTTTTATTGAACTTTTTAAGGACTGCTAAAAGATTGTATATACCTTATCTTAAAATGAGTGTAGTTTTAAGAAACAAAATGTTTATAAATAAAAATTCTAGATTTACATAGTCAAAAATGTGAATAATAAAGGACAGAAACTAAAATTAAAATTTCAGTAAATAAAAATCCAAAAAATGTCTAGGAACTAAATAGTCGGCGTCGCTTGAAGCAAAAAGCCTGGTATGTGCAATATCGCGTAGAGTCAACATTTGCGGAAGCCGCTTTACCAATGCTATGAGTTTCCAAATGAGGTGTCGACTAAATACGCGAGTGTATGAAAAAGCTTCTGGTTTGATGGTAATAATTTTAGTCCCCTTTCTGACTCACATGTCTACTTATAACACCTATAAAGTTTCGTATCACATTAAGACCCTGATTAAAACCGCAAAATGTGGAGAAGATAAAACTGAGATTAAAACTTTTCTTCAAAATAATTATCATATGTATGTATCTTTGTTTTCCATAAAAACGTTTTTAATTGAATTTATAGTGAACAATAGTTACTCCGCTTCCCATGACACATCCTTTTTTAATTATTATAAACAGAAAAAACAATCTTAAATACCAGAAACTCCTATCAAAAGTCTATTCAATGACGTCATTATATGAGCAGAATAGAAGTCAATAAGTATTAAAGTAAATGTTATACTGTACCAAATGTATAAAAAAATATTATTCGGAGAACTGTCGATGAGCAGAGATAAAATCGATATTCCGACATCATTGGGTCGCATTGTTACCTGTTATCAAATAGGGCGGTTAACGCCTCGATGATGGTTTTGTAAACTTTTTTATGCCCCCTGACGTCTGCTTTTATGACATTTTATCAAGAGTTGCGTTTTATTACCGCTATAAACATTATAATAAGAAAATCCTTTGAGTTACATGATATGTGTGACATTAAAATTATATGAATATAATTTAAATTCGTATTGATGAACTGATAACGTTTTAGAAGATAAATTGTACTTTAAAATGATTAAATATTGTCTATAGAATGTAGAGGTAGCATCATTGCGTAGTCTACATAGCTTGCAAACACGTCTGCAATCAAGATCAATTAACATGAAACCGCAATGCTCTTTGCAATGTTCCACGTTCGGAATCATAGACCGCACTAACTATTCCTACTCAAGCTCATAAAGCTGATTTTATGGAAAACAAATATGTGAGGACAAAACCAAATGTATAAAAATAACATTCATAAACTATATCAAATAAGAATTTCTTAATAAACAGTTACAGACACTACAATATAACAATGAGAAACAATTTGATACTTCTTATACTATTACCAGTTGACCTTACTATTCCCTGATCATATTTAATTCCATTGCAAAATATGTAATAAATGAATCTCAAAATCAATTTCGTTTTTTGTTAAACCAATTTATATGCAGAAAAGTGCACGTATATCATTCTTCCGATTTAAATATAAACTTTTACTTCATTATTAATGAAATATTAAACAAACAATCAACCAAGATAAATATAAACAAACGAACAATCATAATAATTTAAGAATCATTGAATAAAACCAGACAATTCACATGACCATTTCATAATTCACATGTTCTGTGAAATATTCGTTATGGCGAATGGAAATTTTAAAACAAATAATCCCATACGTAACGCAAACAGAGACTGTTCGATGAAAAATAAATTACATAAATTCAGGCCAAATTGTCGCTTGTTTTTGGCACAAACAAAATAAACAAATAATAAGGAATTGTTATATTCTGATTGCTTTTTTAATAAATATCTGTTTTACCTTTGGATGTAGCTGAAAAAGTGGTTTTTATTTTATTCACACGGGCAATAAATGTGTCACTTTAATTGATAAAAACATTTTTACGCCATTTTACAGTGGAATACCATACATTCTCACTTTTTGAGATTAAAATGTAATATAGCTCCATACTGAACCCTATATGAAATGTATTGCAAGTAATAAATTATACTTGGACTTGATGTAATTGCTATTTATAAATCATCTAAGATAGTTTTGGCAGTCCGAACATCAACAATCTTTGTTCTCCATGTCTCATTGAAGCTATTGTTACATATAATATTATATTATATATTTAGCTTACAATTATTCCAATAATGTTGTGCATGTTCCATCATATATTAAGCAAATGCTTACAAATACTCAGCATAGGTAATTAAACCGACAATTCAACAACAATCACAATAAATTTATTACTTTAACAAATGTATTATAATTTCAGTTTTATGAAAAAAAATACTTAAATATATGTAAGTACATGTTCCAAGTCTAAAAGATGTGATTTAATTTATTTTTTGTTTCAACTCTTTGATGAAACAACTAAACTTGTTGTCCGATTTAGCTTTACTTTGTTTTTGTATATTGTTACTTTACAATTTTATTTCGCCTTATCGTAATCAAACTCGCTGCAAAATTATGTATAAAAGAAAAACAGCCTATTTTGAACGTTGATATTATTGCATGATATTCATTATGTCTATGCTTAAACTTAAAACTTGTGTTCATATTTAAAATTTAATAGATTTTTAAGCAAATACAGTACTTTGGATCCAATAAACATTTAAATTAAGAAAAAATATCTTTATAAATAGTATTATAATCAGTAGCCAATTTTAAGTTAGTAGGACGCACTAAAAGCAAAAAAATTTGTTGAATCCCCAACTATAATTAATTATTTGGGGTCAAAATCAAAATAGCTAGGATTAGGCCGTTAATATATGTAGGTGACAGATAGATCAGAGGTAATGGGTCATAAAAGGTAATGGATAATAAAAATCAAATGATTTAAAAGCCAAATCTTAAAATCTAGTAACTATGTTGGGTACGGGTATCAGTCAAACTTATTAGTACTGGTTTTCGATTAATTCTGACTGTGTAATTATGACTTCGATATGTGTAAAGTTTAGAAAATAATGTATTTATGTACCCGAACTTAAGTATTTAGATATTTTTGTTTAATATATTTAATGATAATAATCGGTGTCGGAAAAAAATTAAATCGACTTAAATACTAATTTAATCAGTAAGCATTACATTTGCTTATTTGAAAATTTTTATGTAAATGTGTACTTTTTTCTTTCTTATATAGATGCAAATAAACAATCGGTTCTACTACCCGTAGTGGCCACCATAGTCCATTCACATCTGCAATAAAAAGTACATTTCCAATACGTTGCCTGATTTGTTTGGCTCTAAACGATGCTTTATTTTTCAAAGCTGTTATAGCAATTTACATTCTTCTGATCAGTAAACCACCAACGTTAGACGAAATAAGTAGTCACATAAAGAGGAAATCATCTAAATCTGCACCGGGCCCCGATGGTATCCCATATATAGTCTTTAAAAAATGTCCATCGGTTCGTAAACACCTCATAAATATATACGGCAAAATCTGGTCAAGGAAGCAAATCCCGGAGTGTTTCGGGAAACCAATGTTTGTTCTCATTCCCAAAAAAGATCGAGTTACCGATCCGAAAGATACTAGACCGATAGCCTTAACAAATACAATATCTAAAATCTTTTTCTCGGTCCTACAAACGAGAATGACGCGATTCATGCTCAGCAACAAGTATTTTAGGCCAAATCACCAGAAAGGGTTTCTACCCGGGATTTCTGGATGCCTAGAACACAACACCTTGCTGTCGGAGAGTTTGAAAGATGCTAGAAAAAGCGAGCGGCAAATTACAGTTTGTTGGATAGACTTAGAGAACGCGTTCGGGTCGATACAACACGAGTTGATGCTATTCGCGCTTAGATGGTATAACTTTCCACCCTTAGTTAGCGATATGATTGCGTCGTATTACTCAAAATTAAAGTTTTCTATTATAACTAAAGAAGGCCCTTCAAAAAGTTTGAGTTACAATGTAGGACTATTCCAAGGGTGCTGTTTATCTCCAATAGTATTTAATATTGTAATCAATATCCTAGTAGATAAACTTATCAGCAATGAGAAAAAATGGGGGTATCGGTTTAAGTTCAATAACAAATACACGGAATCCATTTTAGCCTTCGCTGACGACCTCGCAATACTGACACGTCACCCCAAACACTGTCAAGTACTATTGGATGAAGTGGATAAATTCTGTGAGTGGACGGATGGATTGAGGACAAAACCAAGTAAATGTCACTGTCTGTGTCTTGGTAGGCGGAATACAAGATACACCTCATACGATCCGGGACTATCGATAGGCGGTCAATGCGTTTCTACGGTTACGGAAAATGCACCATTCAAGTTTCTCGGTCGTAAGATTGATAATATAGGTCGTACTCCATCTTTAGAAGGAATAGTAGATAGCTTTTTAAATGATCTCAACAAGGTAGATAGCCAGCAGATCAGTAACGTAAAAAAAGCATGGATCTACGATAATTACTTAACTTCACGTTTGAATTGGCTTTTTCCTCGTCTATGATTTTAGTAAAACCCTTTTATCTAAATTAGATGCAGGCGTCATAAAGATGTTGAAGTTGTGGCTCGGGCTCGCGCTAACGGCTGACTCATCGGCTTTATTCAGGGATCGTAATAGTTTTGGGATGAATCTAAAAAGACCATCGGAGCTCTACAAACACCTAAGAGTTTCCAAGAGACATATCCTGGGAAAATCCCATGATGACGTCGTTACATCACTCCCAAAAGACAATGATGCCCCAGAGCTAGAGTCACGACTTCAATTCCATAAACAATTTATGATCGGAGCGCAAAATAACAGAGTAGGGTTAGGATCAAGTAGGAAAGTCCAAGATACGGATATATTGAAGTCTTTTATTCGGCAAGACGAGAACGATAAATACAAGATCCATGCAATGAGTTTAGAAATGCAGAACGATTGGTTAGACATGGGAGATTTTTGCATTCCACTAGCACTAAAATGGCGCACCCTAATTCATGACTGGTCGCCAGCCTTGCTAAAATTTTATCTCAATGCGTTCCAGATGACTCTCCCAGATCAGAGTAATTTAGTAAGATGGGGTAAAGGTACCGAAAAAACTTGCTATATCTGCGGAAAGGCAGTTGGAACTGCCAAGCATTTGCTGGTGGGATGTAGGGTTCTCCTGGACAGCGGTCAATACTCGCGTCGTCACGACAGGGTTTTAGAGATCATACGTGAAGCGGTTAGTCTTTCGGTAGCCAGAGCGCAAAGGGAAATAACCACAAACGAGCGATCAATAGGTTTTGTGAGAGAGGGCACCAGGGCTATAAAATCAAACGTCAAGCCTTACTCTATCCTTAAAGCGGCTTCGGATTGGACTATCATGATGGATGCGTATGAGAAACAATACAAAATCCCCGAGGATATTTGTGCGTCGGCCTCCAGACCAGACATATTTCTATATTCGCGTATTTTAAAGCGCGTTGTGATGATAGAGCTTACGGTGCCTTGGGAAACCAACATCCCCAAAGACCATGCCATCAAGGTCAATAAGTATTACGAGCTCACTAACGAACTAACTCGAAATAGGTTCGTCGTTGATTTGTACGCGGTAGAGGTGGGAGCGAGAGGTATAACAGCTGAATCTCTCTATAACCTACTAAAAGACTTGGGCCTGTCCAGAACTAACATTAATTCATTCTTAGAACGTACGTCGAAGGCAGCCCTAGTAGGTTCTTTTCAAATTTGGTTAGGTAGGGAGAGGAACTTGGACAGTGGAGGTGAGCGTATAACGCGCGTTAGTTAAGGGGCCCCTTAAACCTACACCTGGGTCGTAAGTCCCAGGCACTGTTGAAGCTCCTCTCCCTGCAACGCGATGGACCCGGCACCCGCACGGTGAATCCATCGAATGCTAAGAGGTTTCGTCTCATTTAAATTACAAATGATAAAAGCCTTTCTGAAAACAAGCTTTTCTCCTAGTTACTTTCAGCAAGCCATTCATTAAATGACCACAGTGTTTCATTAAAATGTCTAATGCATTGTCTTGGACGTATCCATGGTTAAGCCAGAATGACTCATTTCTTACCATACAGTATACGTAGTCATCCAAATTAAAATATATAAAAAATTAAGATAAATATATTTCATTCAAAATGGTACTGAACGATTCCGCATTCCTAACCAACACACGTATGTATGTACATACATATCATGTTAAACAATAGCTTGTTGTAAATATTACTTGTTTTAGATTAATTAATTAAAAATAACAAAACCAATTTTGTATACAGTTATAGTTTTAATGCTACACAATACTTTTAATGACTTAAATATTCAATTCATTAAGCGCATTGCAACTTACTTAAGCTTATATTAACAGTTAATACAATTCACATTGTTAATGATATCGTTAGGCAGTAAGTCAGCATATCGGCGAAGACTCTCCCCGAAGACTCATTAGTGCATTGTTCTATAGACTACAAACACATTTATTAATTGTAATATACATATATATTATGTATTGTTACTTATCAGTAGCGATAATTTTAGCTGTATTGTCTACTTAATTTCACTAAAGTTATTACAAATTTAGTGTTAATTTGTTACACTATCGGTGGTTAGAATAAGCGGCTTAGTCGATTTTCTATCTATTTTTTTTTTTAGAGTCATCAATGGGATACATTATACATTTCACATAAGAATCAATATGATTTTCAAAACAAAAGCTAATATACCTATAGTGTTCCCATATCATTATTTAGTTTTTATCATATAAATATTCAATATATTTAAATATTATTAAACTGCCACAACGCATTTTAATACTATTTTTGTGCAACTAACTAAAACTTCGTTTCATATACGTACAATAGTCAGCAGTGTACATTCAATATTGCTAAACTCATTTGAATATATCTGTATTGCATTATTTGGAATTTAATACTCTTAATGTTTAAGAACTCTTAAAATAGTTTTTCATTTATAAACTTATATTTATGTTCATATGTAATTAATTATATACACAAAAATAAATTCATTTGCATTTCTATCTAACAGAATTATTTTTTGTACTTACTCGAATTTGTTTTCTTTTTAAGATTAATCTTAAACAATATTTTAAAAGAAAACTTTTCAATTATATTTGTATAAGCAGTTCATAAATGGTATATTAAAAAGTAATCTATCTTCTGTGTATAAAATAAAACCGTTTTATTTAGCAAGACGGCTTGTGAAAAATTTATGTAATAATAATATATTAAAGTTATTGCAAACTACAAAATAATTGACAATGATTAAGCGACATGAACACTTATCAAACTCATTTAATAACTCTATAAAGTCATCTTCTCTAGTCTTTTATTTTTTGATAAATCTTGACAAAATCTCTATTTATTAAGATTAATTTTAAGTTCATAGTTTGCTTGAAGCCACAAGTGTGCTTAGAGGATTCTTCTTATTGAGATCTAAGACTTTCGCGACTATTACTTTAATTGAAACTAATATTTTCGGAATTACATGTATGTTATTATTTAAAAAAAATCTACTCCCAATGTTTCAATTACTTTGCAGTAAAAGTGACCACGGGCAGACGAGATGTCTTGTTACTTCAGTCCATAACTTCAACGAATTCTATGATGCTAAGAAACATGGCTTCAACTCTAAACAGTTATACAACTATACAACTAGAAGATATTCTGAAGTATGCTTGTAGTTCTTGAGAATTTTGTAAAGAAAATGATCAGTCCTGAAATATTTCCTCATACGTAAATATTATATAAAAAAGATATAAATATGTATAATCTTTATTTATAGAGTTATAAATATTTTAATCTAGGTTACTAATAAATATGAGTATCAATAACTTTTATAAACTTTACCAAATTAATAAATAACCACAATATAAAATTTATGTTGCACCCGTCATGCGGGCTTGATAACACCTTACCACCGTTACGGCCAATCTGACAAGTGATGAGCGCTCTGTACCTGTAACTGTAATTCAGCAACAAATAATGTTTATTTTCTGAGATAAGAGATTATAATGGCTTTTTAAATAGCTTGTAATTTTGTAATTCGTTAGTTTTGGGTTTTTTCATATATTTAAATTAATGAAAAACTCAAAAAGATGTCTTGAGTTAAAAATACTCCGAACTTTCTCAAATTTAAAATTATTATAAAACATTTCCATAATTTCTTCGCATCGTATGAATAGAAACAACATTAAATCTTAAGTCAAATAGGAGGAAGCAAATCAAACTTTTAATGATTGCTCATTATAGTTCAAATGTATTTAGCATTCGCTTGTTTCGTGCACTGAGTTTCTGATCTAAATAATGTAATCCTCTTACAGACGTCTTATAAATGTAGCAAAAGGTATTGAACCTGCATGTTGCGATTGTTTGTATCGTTTATATCATTATTATTTCGTTCTTTGTTGATTCATCTCATAGTATCGTTTCTTTAAAACAATCAACAAATTTATTCCCCAATGGAAACTTTGTTTATAATACCTACAGAACTTTTGACTTCTATACTAAAGTACAATTCTTAGAAGCCTCTAAAATATTTTTTTGTCTACAAAAGTTGCTCACCAATTATGAACTACATACATATATAATGCAATACTGCACTTATATATATTTTTATTAAAATAATATATAAATAAACCTTGCCAACTACTTGTCTTGTCTACAATATAGATATCTCATTATTGAAGGCGGTAGCTGGTTTTCACGTAAAATGCAATTGTAGTTTATAAAGGTCAACCTGCAATAAAAACAAATATTCATACATACACTTTGCAAAATAAAGAAATTTTGTACAATCGAGTACATATAATATCTTACCATATTTTATATTTTTACACATTTTAAATTACAGCAAAATATTGTAATTTTAAACAAAGTTAAACTAAAGATTAATTTTTATTTTCATTCAATTTGTTTACAAACTGAAGAACTTTGTATGTACAATAATGTAAAACAGTTTTTCGCAGCCGCCTTTCAAGTGCAGAAGCAACAGTATTATCTGAAGATAAAAATACGAATTAAAAACTTTACAAACTGTAACAGTTAGAATACAAATTGGATGACTTAAAAAACTAGTACAATTTTTATACAAATTGTTGTAAATTTAAATAAAAACCTATAGTCTCCTTAATATATCTACTTATATACAGTTTTGTTAGTGGCTCCATTGTAAAACTTTTAATTATGGTTCTATCTTAGCGTCTTGTATAAACTTCCTGCCAATGTGATTGTAAAGTAATTTAGTATAAAAACAGTTAAGTAGTTTTTCATATTTTATCTATAAAAAACTTAGCTGTCTGTTTTTTAACGATCGTTTATTCAAGTCATGTAATTTTAAAGTATATTAGAAAGTATGTTAAAATATATTAAAGAATTTTAGAAGATTTTGTTCAAAGAATTAGACATTTAAAAGACAATGATACACTAGACCGTATAACAAAATTTCTAACTACTTGTATATAACATAAAGCTAAATTATATTTAGTTTGTATAAAATAATAATAAATATATATATATATATACATATATACAAACTTCTGTCTTGATAATATTACGAATATTTTTCACTTTTTTGTTTTCTTAAAAATATTCAGTCAATAAATATTTGCATTTTCGTGCAATATTTTAAAAATAAATTAGCGCCAACGATTCGGCTGCTCCTTTATTTGGGGACGTCGGCTTACCAGGTTGTCAACAGCACAACACTCTATCGGGATTCCTGGGACCACTGGCAATAAATCATTCTCTGCCACTCAGGATAATCATAAATAATAACAATAACAATCCTCGCTAATCAAGTATCAACCTGGTTCTCTATAGAAAAATGCGAAGAAATAACGTTATATATATGAATTTATTAATTTAAGTTAATAATAATAAAAAAATTTGGAACATCGATTCTTCATTTTACTTCAACTAATTCAAGACGATATTTAATAAGACCGAAGTAAATCGGTAAATTCTCGGTAATGGCAAATTATATATGTGCCAGCTGTAGTCACAAGAAGACATCTAGGCAGTACCATCATTGAAAATACTTCATAATTTATCATAAATATAAAAAAAAATGTTACGTTAACTACATTCAGAGAGCTTAAGAAAAATAATAAATGACTGTAAACTACATTTAATAATTAAAATTGAACTAAATAATACTGATTGATGAAAGTCCTAATCGACATAAGCCAGCAAATATAAGATTTAGTAAAATTATAATAATGAATTTATTTAATTCATAAGTACCGATTAAGCATTCCCTATAATTAAATTACAGTACATTATTATTTGTTTCAATTAAATTCTACATAAGTTAAGGTATTAGATTACAGTGACAAACAATTACAAGAAAGAATGCAATTCTTGGGTGTTAATTTATTATTCTCTAGAAAATGTTCATAATGGTTTCTTTTGAGGCAATTTTAGACCAGCTAAGATCGGAGTACTTGTGTATATTACTAAGTAATAAAAAGTAATATATAGTAAAAATATTAGTAAGTTCGGTTCATTGGGTTATTTACTTCAATGTCTTCTTAACAAACACGACTCAAAGACGGGTTTAGTTGGCCAAAATCGTGAAAAACAATGGGATTTCCGTTGATGGAGGCAACAATCATAAAAACACCATTACATAGTCGTTAACAGATCCGTAAAGTGGAGATAAATAAGAAAGATATACGAAAATACTTTGTGTTTGCGACAGACAGGTAACTATTATTCAGCATCCAAAAGCTTTTTTAACCAAATTTTTTTATGAACTGATCTATATTTTTATACTTAT